ACGACTGTAAGCTTGTAATCTCAAAAATACTACTACTGAATAGACATTTCTCATAAACAGAGGCGGAAGCGGGGACGATCAGGGAATCTGTATCTTCTGGTTAAGGCTTCAGCAGCAATACAACAGGACCAGAATGACATGCAATAGCAGGAACGCAAAATCTTTCAAATGTTTTTGTGATTTCGAAGTCGCAGGAGCTGGACAGTACTCTACGCACTTTCCATACTATACTATACCAAATTGGCCTTCTCAAAAGTCTTATATATTCAAGATCCCTCCGGCGCCTGCAACCTGGTCTGCGGTTCATACATATACGCTTTCCAAGGGGTCTAAGGAATGAATAGACGTATCATAAATTTCATGGAAAGCGTGACAGTAGTGAAGTTCTTCAGCGCTTCAATTGGCTAAGAACGTACCACCTTTATGCACTTATTGTTGTTACTTCCTTCAAACTTACTTTTAATTTCTTCAGAATATGAAGCCGACAGGCCCTCTTCTAGTGATAGAAGTCCTTTAATATATATCATCAGCAATGGTCCATTGCTCGGTTGTGTTAAATACTGCACCAAACACAATAAACTTAATGTTTATTATTTTACATAAAAATAATTATTCATACAAATATACAGGATTACGGTATCGGCGAGATCGTAATGTACATGTGTCTTGCGATAAACAATAGTAAACAACTCGAGCAGTACCGACAACACAATAATTAGCCCCTATTTACTGCTGATCGACAGCCTTTTGGATTGGGATGGTTCTGGCGGTGACGGCTGGTTTCGGCTTGGGCACCTCGATGGCCAGCTGACCGTTCTCAGATAGGGTGGATCGGATCTGCTCGACGTCAACATCTTCTGGAAGAGTCCATCGACGAAGGAATGACCTGCAAAAGAGGGAATTCAGCGATTTCATGGAGAGAGGGCGAACTCTGGAGTTCGGAAATGTAGACTTACCTGCTGGTGTAATTTGAACCTTCAGTGATTTCTTGCTTGCCTTCAATCGTTAGAGTTCGGCCATCGATGTTCACCTTCAGTTCATCTGGCTTGAATTTCGACACATCCAGTGAAATCGCCAGCTTTGACCCGTCATCGGTAACCTAAATCGGGTTGATTCACTTGCACTGGTATATAGCGCACATTGAAGGTCATTAGAACTTTACATTACCTTGTAAAAGAGTCCTGCAAGAGCTTTCCTTCCTTCCTTCGCGCAACAGAGTGGATTGGTGGCTCAATCTGGGCGAGCTCGTTGAAAACGTCGTCGATCTCGCTGAAGACGTCGTCGAGGAGACGAGGGAGGATCGCCGTCTCGCCAGCCCACGGGTGAATGCAGATCGCCATTGTAGATTGCTTCGAAGATTAACCTCAGAACGCTGGAGTTGCTGTTCTCGGACCTGCTTACTATACCGCTCGAGGGGATTCTCGGAAATTCGAGACCTTCTCGGCCCGCCTCTTTCAGTCAGTCCGCTTCCGCGGTGAGTCACCGCGAGTGGGCGGGGCCTCGCGAGACAGCGGGGCGCCGACGAAACAACAAACAAATGCGCTCCAGAAGGTTCTCGAAGATCAGCCGTGAGGGTATATAAGGAGCTCACCGGAGCTGCTACTAATCAACTTGTTTGTGTTCTTTCTCGAGCAGTGAGCGTTGCTGGTGACTTTTCAAGGTATGTTTTCATCTCTACAACTGCTTTTCCCCTGAACTGCTCTGTCTGCCATAACAAACAACTATTAAAGCGACTTTTCAGTTATTCCAGTCGATCAAAAATGGATTTGTGTGTGATGCCCCGTCTGATGAATCGTGTGATGTACGACGCCATGAGGGATTTTGATCGTTTCGAGAAGAAGCATTTTCCCGTATTGGCGAGAGGCTGACCATTCGGTGCTTCACGTGGCCAACGAAACTCAGCAGGTATGGATAGTTTTTCCTGACAGGCCTTTTGGAGCCGTAGCTTGTTTCGAGATTCATTTAAATTGCAGATTGTTGATGACGACAAAAAATTCGCCGTCTCTTTGGATGTGTCGCAGTTCCGCCCAGAAGAGTTGAACGTTCATTTGGAAGGGCGTGAGCTGACATCGAAGGAAAGCAGGAGCACAAAACTGAGAAGGGCGCCATTCAGAGGTGAGTTCTGGCAAATTCTTACAGGTCCCGTGCGTACTAACTGCATACTGAATGCTTGGGATATTTCAGATCATTCACCCGCAAATGGCTGCTGCCCGAAAACGTAGACCTGGAGGCGATCCGTACCCAGCTGGACAGCAAGGGCCATTTGTCCGTGGAGGCGCCGAAGAAAGCCGAGGGTCATGAGAACAAGAGAACCATCCCGATCATGGCCGCTCCTCACGAGAAGTGAACTCTCGATGATCTCAGTTCTATGAAATGTAGCTGTTTTAGTACTGTACATAATAGAAACGAGTTCTGTACACCTCTTTGAGTCGCCCTTTATCTTTGTTATTTATTCGTACAGCCGATATTACATAAATTATTTATTCACCTGTATATTTTCAGTAGTTTTGTACGAAAAACCTCTGATATTGTGCAAATTTCTTATGTATCAATAAACGAATTTCATAATGACTGCGTGAAAAGCTCTGCTTGGAACATGAAGGAATTTATCGAGGCCCACGCAGCGAGTCAGAGGAAAATCAGTCGACGCTTCTTCCCAGGACTCTACCTTAACCATTCTAATCCGTGGAAGATCGTGTTTGAGTCGGTGACTATTTGATGCTTGCTCGAGAAGGTGCAGCTTACTAGGGACCCTCACTTTCATCGACGCAGTATCGATACGAAGTGTTGTGATTAAGGGAAGGACGGAGTCGTTGTTAGGAGGAGGTGTTGTGGTGCTGGAACATGTTGTTTCTGACGCACTTTTGGCTTTATCAAACCGCACAACACTCACCAGGAATTTCTCCTAGGTCGTGCACATATTTGTGGAACGCAGTTTTGTATTATATAAGGACACGTGCATGAAACGGCAGAGGCGAAGAAGGCCATGGTGTGATCACTGGAAGAGCAGAAGGCTTTCGATATCTGGGCAGTGTCTCAGTGGATGAAAGGTAGGCAGATCAGGCACTAATGACTGGACCTCATTAACTCTGCACGATGAGATAAAAGGGGGCCACTAGTACTCTTCATGGTAAATGGGGCTCCAGCACGCTCGAAAGCGAGATAGCGAGATGCTTAGTTGTGAGGCTCACGTGTTCTACAGCAGCTAGTCGCGTCCATATAAGATGGTTACATATGTCCCTTTTTGATTTCAATAAATTGTAGGATAGATAGTGGCAAGCGATTATTACCCTGCAGCCCATATAGGCTGCCATTGTACCACGAGCACACGTCTTGGGCCAGCCATAGGGGCTTACGAATGGTTCAGTGCCACGCGGTTGATTACAGTAAGTTTCACGGATCGAGACCACCGAATCCAAGTCGTCACACTCGTAATCTCCACGATTTATTGGTGCAAGGCGCACAATCTCAAACTTGGGTAATTAAACGATGATATACCTTTTTCAAGTAACAAAATCGACCAACGAACAAAAGGAAACAATCTCCGACAAATAATGACCAAAAATCTCAGAGAAAAAGGCATCGAATGAAGAGAATAAGAGAACGAGGATTCTGGGGAGACTCAGGACCGAATCACACCTTCCAATTGAAGATAAATCTCAGGCGCATGGCGCACACTAAAGAAGGGGGAAAGCGGGCGCACGTCGGTCGCAGTTTCCACCGCTTGAAGGCGAACTGAGGCATTCACAAGGCGGAGTCGCGGGGTTGCATGGAATTTCTTCTTGCTCTACCGTATCTATATATACTGTTTATTCTCTAAAAGATATATGTTAGTGATAAGCTGAGCTTTAGCTGCATTTCTCATGCATTAGCGCATTCCCATCTTTTCCTATCTCATGATTCACGAGGAATGGAAACTGTATAATCGCGTGGGAATCGCGATATGGTGCCGCCGACGTGAATGTGTTAAAGTAAGTTTTCTGAGGCTGAAACTTGGCGCACAAATTATGCCTAGTCGTGATGGTTTGTTTGTTTCACTGAATTCAGGGCTTCATCACTATCCAAACTCACCCTGCACTTTCTTGAACCGTTGCTGGATCCCTTGCTTTTGCTACCCATCGCTACTTTTCCTATCTTCCTCATCGTCTGCCATGCTACTGATTCCAGTGAAGCCCTTTCTGTGACGTCCTTACATCTCTTCATTTGGGCTTCTCGTGATCATTGCCCTTGAAGTCCTATTGCTTTTCATATACGGGCAAATGTGTGTCGCGCCGGCATGGACGCCTTGCTCCTCGCATAAGCTCAGAAGCATCGGGGTTCACCCTGCTTAGGAGCGGCGTTCATGTCGGCGTGAGGGTACGATCGGGGACTTACGCTGCGCCCGCTCTCGCCACTGTCCACGCGGGGGTAATACACCAAAGGCCCTAGCAGCCCCTATGGTTACCGCTGGCTTACCCGAACCGATTGACCTACGCCATGCCAAACAAATATGGACTACGGCCATCGCGGCCTACGACGGTGGCCCTTAAACCTAGCCTACGAACGTTTCATATATTTTACACCTAGCTAGCATGTGTAAAACAAATACACTACGGTAGAATCACCGTTTGATGACTTAATAAAAAACACACAAAATAAGAACCATAGATTCATGTAAACTCTACTATAAGCAAATACTATGAAAAGAATGATAAACACTTCTACGATATGAAAAACCACGACCTACGAACTCACGGGTCGAACCCAGTGCTCAATCCTTACGGGGGGAGACGTGGTAGCGGTCCCGCGGTCCATCTCGGGCATCCATGCCCGTCCTCCTTCTGACTTCATCGACCAGACACATGGATACCAAACGGCGACCGTACGACGAACGAACAGCAGGACTACGACGTAGAGAGCGAGGAACGCAACGACCAGACTCGGCGAGATCGACGTGAAGACTGACTGACTGCGAAGGCACGCGAACTCTGCTTCTCTGTCCTCTTCCCGAACCTTCGATCCGGACGAGCGCACTGAGACCCGCGCGCACCCTACCAGGCGCGACCCTTTAAAGTCGTACGGAAGTCACGACACTGGGGGCGGCGCATGACGAAAGGGGTCCCAGTGGCAGCAGTACTGGAAACCACGTCCTTACCTAGTGCGACTACGCACCTACATATACATACATGTTAGTTAACCGTAGAGTCCCTACGGGGCCTAACTACCTACAGCTGGGTTCGAGGGCTGTAATTCTTGACGGCGGGCCATGGTCGGTTTTTCCCTACGATTACAATATGTAAAACTTCAATAAAAATACAATTCACACATAATGAATCTATGGTGGACGACGATGTGAGGCGAAAAGGCTCGATGAGGCGACAGCTACGTTGCTTGACTCGATGACTGCGGCTTCATTCGGCACGACACGAGGCGAAGACGACGTAATTGACCAACGACGTAAGACTTGGCGGTGGAGCTGCTCGACGACATCAGAAAATTACGGGACTTTTTAATGCCTACGTGCGAGTTTTGCCTCACACTAGGGGGGAACTTTTGTGCGAGGGGGAGATTTTACCTCGCTAAGCGAAAGAAACCCATGGGTCAATTAAGGGGAAGGCAAAAGAAATCCCGGGGTCAAACAAAAATAATTAGCGGTCTCCCACCGCTCCCAAGGGAGGCTGCATCATGCAGCGTGATGTTCACACGTACGGTGAACTACGGTGATGTATTCTTCGCCTACGCGAACTGAAACAACCTCGTACTACGCGGTACGCTGAAAGTAAAATAATGAATAAACAATACCTCGGACCTACGGTCCGTACGAAACTACGCTGTATAAAAATAATTTGATCATTTACTACGAGGAATTATGTGAAACTTGCGTACTACGATGAGTACGATAAAATCATTGCCTACGTGCGACTATGACACAAGAAAGGAGCAGCCCAGAGCTGCTTCTCTCCCCTGCTGCTCCCAACCTACCTGCCCTAGTAATTCTTTGACTGGTTGCCCATGGAACGGATCTCAGATTCCAAATGGTTCGCTTATGCGAGCCATCCTGGGGCGCGAGAGGGAGGTAAGGGCACGCTGATGTTTCGCGTGTAATGTGACAAAACTTTAGGAAAAAATAGAAGTTTATATAATGTTAGTAAACTATGAATAGACGTAAACTACGACCTATACTACATGCGCTAATTAAGGGGAGATGTGACTTGTATCTAACATTGGGGCAACAAATTGCTCCAATGAGAGATACATAGTGGAGGAATTAGATTAAGTTGTGGTACGAGTACTAAACTGAGATGTGTATAATGTAATTACTAAACTACATAAGGTGCAAGTGCGAAGAAAGGGTGCTTGTATCCTGCACTGGCGCAACACCACACACAATGCATCGGCATTGCTACAATGAAGGATACACAGGAAGGAAGAAAATCAAGTTTTTTGTCTACGTCGACGGCCGAAACGACGGAGAGCGCGATGACGTGCGCTGCGATGTAACTGCATTTATGCTAAGGCTGGTAAAAAGTGTGGTAGTATCCTCGTATTTCTCCGTGGATGCGATGATACGGTCTAATTTCTGCATGACCTGATCGAGATCAAAATCCGAATTGGTTTGAAACTCGAGGTCGTGCAGTTTACGTTGAATTTCCGATGGGAATTT